ATTGTTTTTTAAGTAATTTTCTTTGGAATTTCTCCAGCTCCATTATGTCTTTCTTGATTGATTTCATGTACTAGCAGGACCCTTCCCAAGAAGATGCAATGACCAGAAACTCCTACTGTTGAGTAGGCCCCACTTAGCAAGACCTACTGAATCAGAAACTCTGGGGCCATCAGTCTGTTTTAAGAAGCTGTCCAGACTGCTGGGCCCCCAGAGTTTCTGATTCGGTAGGTCTTGCTAGGTAGAAAAGAAAGCAAAGAAGCTGTCCAGGTGATTCTGATAAAAATTAAAGTATGAGTACCACTATAAATATAGTGGATTATCTTTCATGAGCCTTTCAGTGCTAAGTTTGGGGGCCCTGTTAAAATACAAGCACTTTTGGCCTAGCTCTTTCACCCTCCATAGTACCCTTATCTATCCATCCATCCATCCATCCATCCATCCATCCATCCATCCATCCATCCATCCATCCATCCATCCATCCATCCATTTATCTAATTATTTACATTATCTGTGTTCAGAGTGTTTTAAAAGTAAAAAATAGGCCAGGCATGGCTCACTGGCTCATGCCTGTAATCCCAGTACTTTGGAAGGCTGAGGCGGTTGGATCAACTGAGGTCAGGAGTTTGAGACCAGCCTGGCCAACATGGTGAAACCCCCTCTCTACTAAAAATACAAAAATTAGCTGGGTGTGGTGGTGTGCCTGTAGTCCTGGCCACTCAGGAGGCTGAGGCAGAGAATTGCTTGAACCCAGGAGGCAGAGGTTGCAGTGAGCCAAGATGGAACTACTGCATTCCAGCCTGGGAGACAGAGCAAGACTCTGTCTCAAAAAAGAAAAAAAAAAAAAGTCAGGAATAAAAAGTTTAAATACAATCCAATTTTATGGCTATTGACCCAAATGATATGAAATCTTGAAAGCTAGTTTAGTTCCAGGAATATCTTCCCCCTGAACTTTCTTATGTTTTCTATAATCATGTAAAGGCTAAATTCACTTCCAAAATTTCAAAATAAGCATTTGTAATTCCATCAGAAACAACCCTAAGCGTGTCACTACCTGGTTTTTATGGAGAATGTATTGGGAATACAGAAAAAGTATAAGCAAAGAGCCTGGCCTTTAGATCCTTTAGTCACTTTGAATAGCGGCTAGGGATGACTAATAAGATGACAGTCCTTAAGTGGATGACCATTGGACACATAGGACAACCACCTTCCGTGCAATGTGGAGACTGTAACACGGTGTGTTGGAGAGATGCTCATTATTGGGGTGGGGGTGCTGGAGAAGGCTTCACAGGGGCCCCTGACACATCAATAGCATTTGACATGAAAAGAAAGGGGCAAGGAGGTGGGGGTGGGGATTCAGTCACAGGGAATAAAATGAACAAAAGCAGTGAGGTCTGAAAGGAGGAGGAACGGCCGGCCGGGAAGTCAGGCCTCGGGAGGAAATGGATGGGATAGGCGGTGGGGTGCAGGTAGCACATCAGTTCTGGGGCTTTTGACAATATAGACAGGAGAATTTGAAAGGATGCAGCTTGCAAAACGCACACACTGTCTCTTGTCATTGCCATCCACACGGCCTTTGAAAGTAGAGACAATACCTGAGAGATAAGCTCCCAGGGACGACCGTCATTCGTTCATTCCACAGATACTGACTGAGCGCCTGCGGCGTGCCTGGCTCTGCGGCATACCTGGGTACCTGCCGGTGACAGACGCAGCCCCCGCGATGGGACCCGCTGTGGCCTCGCCGCTCACCGCCTGCAGCCCCCGGCGCCCGGGCGTCTCCCGGCAGCGGCTCACCTGGCTCCTTGGCGGGGGCGGGAGTGCGGGCGCTGGGATCCCACACGGCTCCCGCCTGGCTGGCGGCGCTGCGGACGCGGATACCGGCGGTTCCCTAGCCGTTGTGGCTTAGCCCGCGGACGTTCCGGGCGGGCAGAAGATGAGAGTGGGGGAGGGGACGAGGAAGGGGAGCATGAGCAGCTGGGCTAGGGAGCCGGGAAAGGGGTACCTAGGTCGCCCTCCTTATACCTGAGTCGTGGGAGCCCCTTGGTACTTGGTAAACCTGGGTACCGAAGCTCCTACTCTCTCTGAGGTTTTACTATTCTTGATCGAGGGCCAATTTGGTGCCAGTCCTCGTGCCCTGAACATACAGCAATGCATATGTGTACTGCACAGACGGTAATTCACTATCGTCTCCGGAAGACTTAGCCTTCCTCAGGTCAGAAGCGGTAAAAGGAAATGGAGGCTAGGAGGGTTACCCAGGTCTCCAACCATAGGCTCTCTGCCCCACAGGCCTGGCTCTCCCCACTGGATGACACCTTCCTGCCCAGATCGTCGGCTCTGGATGCAGACATGCCGTCTGCACTCACTCCCTTTACCCTCCTCCCACCCTATCCCTGTCCCTATCACTGTCTCTCACTCCACCTTGTATTCCTGCTTGGCCCAGTTACAGTTTTACACTTGTTTGTTTGATGACTGTGTTGATGTCTACCTTATTATGCACTTTGTGTATTCCTTTTTGTAAATAATCTTAGCCCTATGAGGGCAGGGATTTTTATCCCTTTCATTAACTGTTTTATTATGAGTGCCTACAACATTGTGGTGGACATAGGAAGTGTTCAATGAATTTGTGTTGAATGATTGCCCTCCCATTGACTGTAAGCTCCACGCAGGCAGCAACTGTAGTTTTTAATCACTTTTTAACTACAAGTGCTTGGCACCTAGTAGGCATTTAATACACATTGGTTGAATGAGTGTATGAATATACTGCTTACTTTATCTTTACCCTTCCATTCACCCTCACCTCATTATCCCAATTTGTAGGATAAAAATGTGCATTTCTGAGGATTCCTACTTCCAACCTTCCTCCTCACCCCTTGTAACCATTCCCTCATTCCCTCGATCCCCCCAACCCCATCCCTCATTTCTTCACAACCATGTTTTTGCTCTTACTTCCCCTTCACCCTCCGTCACTTCTTAGAAAGCTTCCTAGCCTCCCTAGTTTGGAACATTCTCAAGCATCATGTTTTTGTAGATAAGAGAATTCCAGCTAAGCTACATTGGATCCAAAACAGCTTTCCATGAATCACCCATGACTCTGTTTTTTGGTTTTATATTGCTTTCCTTGAGGAGGACTGATAATCCTGTACCACTTCTTAAATTGAAATCATGGTCATTGTTCACAATTTTTATAACAAATACTTATGGGGCATGTTTTATGTTATAGACATTGTGCTAGATATTGGGACAAGATAGGCAAAGTCTGAGCCCTCCAAGGTGTGTATGACACAAAATAGAATAATCACAGGAAATGTTGAGAAATGTCCTGGCTTGGACCTAGTTATTTCTAATACAAGAAACTAAGACAATGATGCAGGATCTGATTCTTCTGCTCATTGTAACAAGCTTTAGCATAGGTGTAGGTTGATAATGGATGTAGGCATGGGGTTATAATGCCTTGCCCATTCACATTTATCTTGTTTAGTTTTTACAAATGACTCTGTTAGTCGGGAATGCAGGGCAGGAAATCTCTTGTAAAAGCTGGAACTAAGGTTCAGGAAAGGTCATTTGACTTGCCTAAATTCGATGAGACTTCTGCCCTCTTCTCCTTACTCGAAGAGGCCTGAGTTGAATGCTTAAAATCCTCTTCACTGATGGCTCTTCAGGGTAGGAGTCAGTTTCAAATCTTCAGTGTAATGGTTTTTTAAATGCTTCTCAAAGGGAGATATCAGACTTTCCTGAATCAGAATTACCTAAGATGTATTATAAAAATACATGCTCTTGATGCCTTCCTCTGACCTACCCAATTAGACTCCCTGTGAGTCCTGGGAACTTGCATCTTAAACTCCCAGGGTGATTTTTCTGCATGTAAGTTTAAGAACTATTAGGAGAGTTTGAATGGAAAGCCTCAGCTTTTTTTTTTTTTTTTTTTTTTTTTTTGAGACGGAGTCTCCTTCTGACGCCAGGCTGGAGTGCAGTGGCGCGATTTTAGCTCACTGCAACCTCCGCCTCCCGGATTCAAGCAATTCTCCTGCCTCAGTCTCCCGAGAAGCTGGAACTACAGGCTCAAGCCACCATGCCCAGCTAATTTTTGTATTTTTCAGTAGAGACGGGGTTTCACCATGTTGGCCAGGATGGTCTCTATCTCTTGACCTCGTGATCCGACCGCCTCGGCCTCCCAAAGTGCTGGGATAACAGGCGTGAGCCACCGCGCCCAGCCCCTGGAAAGCCTCAGCTTTGATGCAGGGTTAACATTTGCCTTTGGGACATATTTCGTCAGCATCTCGAAGAGTAACCCACATGTAGAGTAACCCATATGTCCTTGAGCAGATGGGAATGCAACAGCCTTCTGGCCAGAACCTGTCTCTCACTTTTTTTTTTTTTTTTTTTTTTTTTTTTTAATTTGAGACGGAGTTTCGCTCCTGTTTCCCAGGCTGGAGTGCAATGGCGCGATCTCGGCTCACCACAACCTCCACCTCCCGGGTTCAAGCGATTCTCCTGCCTCTGCCTCCCGAGTAGCTGGGACTCCAGGTGCGCGCCACCACGCCCGGCTAATTTTGCATTTTTAGTAGAGACGGGGGTTTCGCCATTTTGGTCAGGCTGGTCTCGAACTCCCGACCTCAGGTGATCCGCCCGCTTCGGCCTCCCAAAATGCTGGGATTACAGGCGTGAGCCACCGCGCCCTGCCACCTGTCTCTTTTTCATGCAAGTGTTTTTTGGAATTTGGGGGTTCAGCTGAGCAGGTGCTCCGCTGCTAGTAACTACTCGCAGTTAAAGATCTTTTGACTCTTTCCCCGACACGCTATTTGTCACTGTCGTTTTCCACCACAGAGCCAGGTATTTGCCCTGCCGGCCACGGTGGGGCGCGCGCGGCGTGTGCTGCCCGCTTATCTCTTCCTTCCCTGGTCCGCCTTCGCGCCCTTAAGGAGACAGTTCCTGGGAGTTTCTGCCTTTGGGCTCCAGTTGTTGCTCTCTTCTCGCGAGAACTGCCCCTCTCATCCTCTCCTCTCACGAAGCCCCGCCCGCGAAGAGGTTCCATATTGGGTAAAATCTCGGCTCTCGGAGAGTCCCGGGAGCAGTTCTCGCGAGAGTACTGCGGGAGGCTCCTGTTTGCTGGCTGTGGAACCGCGACCACTGGAGCCTCAGCGGGCGCAGCAGCTGGATCCGGAGTACTGCGACGCAGCTCGGAGTCGGCCTTGTAGGGACGAAGGTGCAGGGAGATCGCGGCAGGCGCAGCCTTGAGCGCCGGAGCGCGTCCCTGCCCTTAGCGGGGCTTGCCCCAGTCGCAGGGGCGCATCCAGCCGCGGCGGCTGACAGCAGCCGCGCGCGCGGGAGTCTGCGGGGTCGCGGCAGCCGCACCTGCGCGGGCGACCAGCGCAAGGTCCCCGCCCGGCTGGGCGGGCAGCAAGGGCCGGGGAGAGGGTGCGGGTGCAGGCGGGGGCCCCATAGGGCCACCTTCTTACCCGGCGACTGCCGCTGGAAAATGTCTCAGGAGAGGCCCACGTTCTACCGGCAGGAGCTGAACAAGACAATCTGGGAGGTGCCCGAGCGTTACCAGAACCTGTCTCCAGTGGGCTCCGGCGCCTATGGCTCTGTGTGGTGAGTGTCGCCGGGCCTGGGGCCGCTGTGGGCAGGGTGGCCCCTCGCGCCCGAGAGCCAGGCCTGCACGACTGCTCTGCGTTGCGTCAAGTGGCAGGAATTTTCCTCGGGGGAGGGCCTTGCTGCCCCTTCGAGCTCTGCCTGTTCTGCACCTCCTGCACCCCTCGCCCTGCACTCACGCGGGTATTGCGGTCCACCGTGTGCAGCGCTCAAGTCCGCTGCGAGAGGTAGGTGGTGGTGCTGGAGCTCGGTTCTGGCTAGCACCCTGCGCCTTCGCCTCTCGGAAGGTTGCTGCTCGGCGGCAGGCACCGGGGGAAGGGCTGCTTCCTTGGGGGTCTCCCTCCGGACCTGGAGCAGAAGGACCCTCTCCCGCGATGCGCCCACGCTGTGGCGCCGGACCCTGTCCTCTGAGCAGACAAGCTTGGGGAGCTGCCGGGAGAAGCAGAAGGGCAGAGCGCAACCCGAAGACTGCGGTCATCTAAACAAAACTGACCAGGAAGGGAGCTCTCTCCGGGCCTTTTTTTTTTTTTTTTTCCCCAAACCTCTGTCGAAATCCCATCTCGAGAAGTGTTCTTTTTGAATTCGCACTTGAATTAGCAGCGATCCATAGAGCTTAAAATACCGACTTTATCTCGGTGAACACTGTGCCAGCTTGAGTGGTGTGTTTCCGATTCGGTTGAAAGCGTATTTCCTTTCTGTGGAGGGGCGGCGGTGGTAGTGCCTGCAAGAACGCTGCAGCTTGAGAAACTGGCAGTCTCACTGATTAGTCACATACCACTGCTCATTTAAGTATTGTTCGACAAAACAGTTTTTTCATTTGGAGCAAGAAAGATTCAGATCTGTAAGGCGCCCTCAAGATCAAAAAATTATTAACAGTGCTAGGAGGTATTGTAAGTATTTTTTGAGATAATTCCTGCGAATACTGTGTTTTAAAAGTCCCTTTCAGAGTTTGCAGGGATTTATCTAGTTATCTGCATTTATGGCCTGAGGTACACGATGGTTTTCGTAAGGATATGGAACCACATAGAAAAGGAAGGGAAGAGATACTTTTTAGCTTTAATTTACACCGTGAGTGTGTTTTAAATTAAGTCGATACCATGTAATTTCCAGACCTGAAATATTTCACTAACTGCTCTCTAATTTTCAAGGTTTTATACCCTGTATTTTAGATTTTCTATAATTTAAAAGCTACGGATCTGAAACTAAATATCAGATTTAACTGTTAGCTTTTTCTGTGTTTTAGTAATTCGTATTGTATGCGTCATTTGAAAAGGGGCCTGTAAAATAGTTTTTTGTTTTGGAACAAATTCCAGGCTTTTGGATGTGTTAATCTTTAAATATGATTTCTGTGTTTCCCAAAGTCACATCATGAATTTCCTGTTTGGTAGAATCTTCTGGGTAATTGAGATTGTGCAATTGTGTCCAGTAACAGATCATATTGCATTTTCTAGTTCAAGCTGCTTAAGTTATGTTGCAGATGGCACCGTGCGTGACATCTTTCTCCCATTTTTACAGCATGGCAGTTTACATTTTAAAGGAATTTGCAGGATTTTACATTCAGAGTGTGTGTGTGTATAGTTGATTTGCAGCATTTTACATTCGATATATACATGTTAATATATGTATATCCATTCAGTATATACATATTATGTATATCTAGTTGATTTGCTTTTCAAAGATGTATTTGGATCATTGTTCTTTTAATATTTTATAGCTCATTAATATACTTCCATTTTTTCATTCTTGAATTGACACATTCATTTCTGTAGTATCACGTTTTTGTTTTCAATGCTATTTAAATTTTAATGGAGTGATAACAGCAGAATAACTCATCTATAGAGGGTTTGGGTGAACTCCAGTTGAATTCCTCGCAAAGGTTCAGTACTGTTGGTGACTAGCTCTGCACTGGAACAGGAGATCCAGATTTACAGTGAAGTACCATTAAAATTAACTCCACATTTCTTTAGTGGTATATTTTTCTGTGGTATAAAAGCCAGCAGAGGCCGGGCGCGGTGGCTCAAGCCTGTAATCCCAGCACTTTGGGAGGCTGAGACGGGCGGATCACGAGGTCAGGAGATCGAGAAAGTCCTGGTTAACACGGTGAAACCCCGTCTCTACTAAAAAATACGAAAAAGTAGCCGGGCGAGGTGGCGGGCGCCTGTAGTCCCAGCTAACCGGGAGGCTGAGGCAGGAGAATGGCGTAAACCCGGGAGGCGGAGCTTGCAGCGAGCCAAGATGGCGCCACTGCACTCCAGCCTTGGCGACAGAGCGAGACTCCGTCTCAAAATAAAAAAAAAGCCAGCAGTATCTGACACTTAAAAGTACTTTTATTGAACAGATTTTTAAAAATAGGTAATATATTGACATTGTATAAAATTTGAAAGTTTTAAAAAGGTATTCAGTGGGCCGGGCGCGGTGGCTCAAGCCTGTAATCCCAGTAGTTTGGGAGGCCGAGGCGGGTGGATCAGGAGATCCGGAGATCGAGACCATCTTGGCTAATACAGTGAAACCCCATCTCTACTAAAAATACAAAAAATTAGCCTGGTGTGGTGGCAGGTGCCTGTAGTCCCAGCTACTCGGGAGGCTGAGGCAGGAGAATGATGTGAACCCGGAAGGCGGAGGTTGCAGTGAGCCGAGATCGCGGCACTGCACTCCAGCCTGGGCGACAGAGCGAGACTCTGTCTCAAAAAAAAAAAAAAGGTATTCAGTGAAAAGTCTCGTTTTTTGTTCTCCAGCCACTCTACTGTCTTTCTCAAAGACAAGCGCTGTTAAGTGTCTTGTGTCTTTCCAGGGGGGCAGAGTTTTTTTATTTGCTTGTTTGTTTAGTAGTCTTTCTACTAAAGGGATTTAAGATGTAACCTACAGCATATTGGTGAAGGAAAATACAGCTGAAACTGAAATTATTTGACAGTTAACAATAAACAATTATAACTAATATTGGAATGAAAATACCAGAATTTAGATTTACAATTAAGTGTTATCTTATTCAGAGTTTCGGTGTAGTTATTTGAAGTTGTTCTTTTCTTTGAGATGAAGTCTCACTCTGTTGCCCAGGCTTGAGTGCAGTGGTGCCATCTCGGCTCACTGCAACTTCCACCTCCTGGGTTCAAGCGATTCTCCTGCCTCAGCCTCCCGAGTAGCTGGGACTACAGGTGCCCTCCACCATACCCAGCTAATTTTTGTATTTTTAGTAGAGACGGGGTTCTCCATGTTGGCCAGGCTGGCCTCAGACTCCTGACCTTGAGTGATCTGCCCTCCTTGGCCTCCCAAAGTGCTGGGATTACAGGCCTGAGCCACTGTGCCCGGCCTGAAGTTGTTCTTTCAATGAGTACCTTTTTATGTGTGGCAGAAAACATTTTTTGGAACTTCTTTTAGAATCCACTTTGGAGCCTATGATACTCTTCTTCTTTTTTTTTTTTATTTTGAGACAGAGTCTTACTCTGTTGCCCAGGTTGGAGTGCAATGGCACCATCTCTGTTCACTGTAACCTCCACCTCCTGGATTCAAGCGATTCTCCTGCCTCAGGCTCCCAAGTAGCTGGAATTACAAGTGTGCAACACCATGCCCGGCTGATTTTTGTATTTTTTAATACAGACAGGGTTTCACCACGTTGGCCAGGCTGGTCTCTAACTCCTTAAGCTTCAGGGGATCTGCTCACCTTGGCCTCCCAAAGTGCTGAGATTACAGGGGTGAGCCACTGTGTCTGGCCATCCATCTTCATTTTTTTGAGAGCAGATTTGATTTTAGGGAATAACAGTCCATTTGAATCCAAATAATTTAGGGAATTTGGACTCAAAGATTAGGCAATCAGGTTGGTGATACTACTGTTTTAGGTCAGATAGAAGTTACAACTATAAAGTAATGACACAGCATTTTTTGTGTGACTTCTTGAACTGGACGTGAAGTCTGCTTCCAAAAATATCTCCGAATTTTATTTTATTAATATTTATTTATTTTGTAGAGATAGGGTCTTACTGTGTTGCCCAGGCTGGTCTCAAACTCCTGGCCTCAAGCATTTCTCCCACGTTGGCCTCCCAAAGTGCTGGGATTATAGGGATGAGCCACCACACCCAGTCCCTGAATTTTATTTTCAAGAATGAAAATAAATTAATAGAATATTTCAATGAATAAAATTCATTCATTGAAATATTTGTCAGTTTCCTAATTATTGCTCTGAAGTGCGGTATACTTTGATGTGTAACATTTATAAATTATTTTAAGCCTATATTATTTTAATTTATACTAAGTATAGTAAAAAAACAAGTAGCAGCCTGTGTGAGAACCAATTATGAATCAAAATAAGGTTTTACATATATGCCTTTCCTTTAAAGAGTAAAGGGAACTAGACTAGGTCTTGCAGTTTTAAGGAACTTTATGCATTGTCTGTGAGGGGAAATGAAGCAAAATTGTTTAAGAATACATTGTTGCAAAGCATTGATTTTGGGGTTTTGGGACAGAAGGGGAGAATCTTTGTGGTGAGTTTAAGGAAATACAAACAGGAACTTAAAAGTGCCTTTCCTCTGGGGTACTGTTTTTCCAGGCCCTTGCTGTTGATTAGAGGAGGTGGGGCACTGGTAACCATAAAATAGGAGGTGATAGTTGAGAATTACTCTTAGATCATATTCAACTGTTTATTCAACAGTGTTTATTGAATACCTACTATGGGCCAGATAGCTAGGTTCTGGAAGTAGAGTGCTAAACAAGACAGAAACAAGACAATCCATTCTCAACTGGAGCTTATAGTCTAGTGGGTTTAATAACTACATTTTGTGGATTGCTTGCTATGTTCTAGCATTGTGGTGTGCACTGTATCTTCAGCATAGAAAGTATATAACAAAACCTTTGGTAAAAGGATAGCAAAACTTGCTAAGAAATAAAATACAACTTCCTAAGTGCTTTGTGGAACAAGATTATTCTAGTATAATAAAAATAAATGAAGCTAACTTTTTTTAAACTATTAGTGGCCATTCACCGTTTTAAATCTTTTTTTAAATTATTTT